ATGTCTCTCACATATTTGTTTGAGTTGAAATAGGCATGTACATTGAGAACACTGGAGAAACTTAGCAGGTCTGCTAAGAGAAAGAAATACAGTTAACATTTTAAGTCAGATATAACTCTTGTTCATCTTCTGAGGATGATAGTGAGGGACAGATTCAGGAGGGCCTTCCAAGAAAGCAGGACAAAGCAATGTGTCCCAGAGCCCAGAAGGCCAGATATAATAGCCAGTCATGTCCAGTTTGACTGAGCTGGGTTCAGAAATGATCTGTTGCTTACTTGGCAGGCAGCCCCTGCTAAATATCAAGGACATGTGGACAATTTTTTTTCAGTTCCTAACCTTTTATATTGCTGAATGAATATTTCATTTTCCATGTATGAATGAAATCTTCAGATAAAACTAACCTGCTCTGCATGATGGTTAGGGATAAATCAGCAGTCAGACAGTGCACTATCATTGCCCTGGTGCTAAAGCTAGGTAGCTCTGAAACTGCCCATAAGTATGACAATCTGAGTCATCTGTAGTGCAATCTCTCACGACGAACATTAAGTTGATTCAAATTCTGAGGAAGCTCCTTTTGCCCTTTCTTCCATTACCTGTAACTTTTCAAGGCTTCAGAATGACTGGATATGCTTAAACATCCTTGATGACAGTATCTAACCTGTCAGAGGCAGTGCTTTGCGTAATTTTGTTCAACAGACTGCTGCTTTAGGACGGTCAGTGGACATGCGAGCTGCCCATTGTACATCTCCTGGCCTTGAACGGCAGTGCCCTCCCTTGAAATGCTGATGCATGGAATGAACCTTTCACAGAGAGGTATGGAATCATCCTTCATTCTGTACTCTCATTCACAAGGTGGGATTAGGTATTGAAGGATGTGAGCTGCCAGGTCCTAACACATTCTAAAGATATTGCCTGTAGCCTCTGCATTGTCCATGTTAATGAGCAATGCATTGGCTGCAGACCTCAAAGTTGAGGTTTTAGACTAAGAGTCTGCAGTCAAAGTGTTTTTGAGAAAGGAACAATGTATGGGATGACAACTTCTTACACCCTTGGTACAAAAGAGGTTCGTTATCTCTGACATGGGTGTGATTGAACCAGGTCCTATAGGAAAACAATATAGTGAATAATACTACAGTGCATACGGTAACAGTGCAAAAGAAAATATATTGACAGAAGTGATGGTATATTTACAACAATGTAGCCCCTGTGCCTCCTATGTACCCCCAGCAGTGTCTACTTCTTTTGTCTCTCAATAAAGCTAGGTGCAGGCCCAATGTCTTCATCATCTAGTTGCCTGCCATTTCAACACAGCATCATGTTCCCTGGCCAAAATCTCTGTCCCCAGGCTTGCTGCTTTGCTCCAGCTAAGGTCAGCGCTAGCTGGAAGAACAGCACCTCATTTTCCATTTGGGAACTCTGCAGCCTCCTGGTCTTGATAGTGAGTTCAATAATTTTAGGGCTTGAGTACCTTCTCCCATGTCCCCAACTGCCATGCACCCAGCCTTGTCATCGAATGGGCTGTTACCACAAACAACCCACGACCAGTCACTAATGGTCCCCATTAGCATTCTCTCAAGCTGACCTTTATCCATTTCTCTGTCTGCCCTATTGTTTTTCATTCTCTCCGGGCTCCATCTCCACCTATTGTTTCCTCCATTCGCATCCCTCAACCTTTCTTCAGCATATATGCCAACCTTTCCCTAGCTCTAATCGGTTCTGACGAAGAAGCTTTAACTCTGCTTTCTCTCTGCAGATACGGCTGGACCTGCTGAGTTTTTCTGGCAGTTTCTGCTTTTACTGCTGTGTTTGGCACAGTTGACTTGAAAGGCTTGGGCATTCATTCCCTTGTGCCTTTGAACCTAGGCCTGCTGTGAGTCTCCTACCCAAATTCAGGCTTACTCTCCTCCAGCTGAATTGCTGCAGCCTTTGGCAGGGGAAGGTAGAAAGTCAGGGTAGCTGAGGAGAAGCTACTGGGGTGCCTATGTCTCACTCCTCCTGTCCATGGGTGCTTTCTGGCACCAGCCTATCTCCTTAGACAGTGGCACTTAGAGTGAGGTTAAGGTCCCTCGTCGCCTCCTGCCTTGCACATATCTGGCCACTGACTAAATAAGAGGAGAGGGAATTAGTTGGAAAAGGGAAAGAGTTAGTTGAGGAAGTTGTATCAAAGCTCATTCAAAATATAAATGAGTTAGCACAGAATGTAGTTGGATAGAACATAGCACAATCGAGCTTAGTGGGTTGACTGTCCATTGCTGTCACTGTTTTAGAGCAGTCCCAGTCTTCCACCAGCATCTCCACGATCTTCTCCTTATAGGAACTGAGGATCCTGATATCTGCCACCAGGTTATGAGCTAATCTTTCCTGCATCGAGGCAACAGAGAGATTCAGTGTGATGGAAGTGGATGCAAGAGAATTTAGTGAACATGGACAAGCAGCACAGATGGTGAGGTGCCCCCAGTGAATGAGCAGAAAGAGCAGAAGGCAGGAAGGGTTAGTAGTTGAAGTGGATGTGGAGGGTGGGAGCCCTAGAGTGGTCATGATGCATGCGATGGTGAGGCTTATGGCCCATTGACCTCGGTGAGATGAGTGCGCAATGTCTTTATTAGATGTGATTCTGCATTATGGCAACATTGGCTGGATAATCCTGAGTTTGCACAAAATAACACTGACAACTAATTAAGGATCTTCTGTTGGATTCACAGTCTGGCATATTCACAGTCTGAAAGCTACATATATTAATACAGAGAACATTTTTTTTTTAAAAATTAGGAAGAACATTAACTATAATCCCTGCCTGGAACATGCCTTTGGCTGCTGAGTAGAATTGCTTTCTGCTTGATCATGATAGGCCTTTGATCAAAAGAAAACATTTAACCTTGGGAGTCAATTTTAACTCCCCTTCCCTGGAAACTGGTCAAAGGAGCAGTTACAGCAACTCAGATTCGGTACCCAACCTTGAGATACAACTGATCTGAATTAAGCATATTTACTCAAAGGTATAGCATTCAACTTTACCTATATACGTTGGAACCCAATGATGTAATTGGGACTTAACTTCAATCTTAATTCAGTGCATTTTGCAATAGGCTGAGATGGTGGTGAAATGAAATGGTGTTAGAGCAGTTCAAAGAAGAATTTAAAAAAAAAATTAATTGTCAGGCCAAAATGGAATGAAAGACAGATAGGCTTTGTAAGTTCCCTTCATCAGATTAGGACCCAGGTGATGAAGATGAAAATCTATCTTTGTGATACTGATTATTCTGGACCTAATTCCTCTTAGCATAGTATTCACTCGGATAAATTCAAACTCTCTTCATGTTTAACTACTTTGAATATAATTAGCTCATTAGCCTATCTGCTGCATCAGAAAGGTGATTTTCTTTCGTTTTCTGGTCTTGTTACTATTATAGCTCTTATCTGGGTAATATTTTTCTGACCTCAAGGGCCATCAATCTTTTAGTTCTATTTTCTAACTGGCAAAGGTAAATTTATGCCAAAAACCACTGCAGTCATTTCATGTACAAAGCCAATAAAAGGCTGGCCAGCTTCAACAGATTCATTATAAAGTGAAATCGAACTCAGTTTACCTTCAAAGTTGGAAATTAACATAATCATTTAAATATTATCACTATCATAATGTTGAGATTTCTTTTAATTGCATAGAATGATGCCATTTTATTAAACAACAAAATCAAATGAAGTATAGGTGACAAATTACACTATTGCATTGAAAAATTCTGATATGAATCCACAAGCCTCAAAAAAATCTATTCACATGATTTAAGTGTTTATTATTATGCAGCACAGCTGTACTTTCAACGCCCCAGTTCTCTGACCTAAAATCTATGTCGTTCTAAACTGTGCATTGCTGTCTTTGAATTTTTTGGGGATAATTAAGTGCATGACCTCAAAGGATAAGAAAGTAACAAACATGTGATATGGCTTCAAAGCACATAGGTATTAGGTTACCTACTCAGATTCTTTCCACACACTAGCCAAAAAGCACATACATCGAAATTTATTGATCACCTTTTCACATTGTGCAACTTTTCCATGTAGTCAAAGGTGGAGCTGGTTTAGGTGCAAACTGTGGTTAATAAGTAAGGGACTGTAGTGACATTTTTCAGTCATTGAAAAAGTATTTTAAAAGTCATTCAGCAGTTACAATCATTTGAAATTCTCTAATTTTTTTGAATTCACACTTCAGTCATTGTCACCTGCTACCTGAACTTTGAGAAGAAATGAATCCAAAAAATGAAAAATAGGCCATGAATAATCAGAATAAAAAATTCCAAGACGGTGAGGCAGAACAGATGCATTGGGGCCAAAAATCAGCAACCCTTCAACCAGAATCTTAAACAGTTTAAATTAGATCAAGACCAAAGAAGATTTGTTTTGATATTCCTGAGGAGACGGGGAAATTGGAAGGGAGCATTGAAATGGGTAAACAATACATCAAACAATAATGGGGGTGCAAAATTCCAAAGGGTAGAATTTTATTATCTCTTTTATTGATCCATTTCACCACTGCCAGAAGTTGAATCAAAAATCCAGTCAGAGGTGAGAATCCTTGATATGGTCCTTGGCAGTCAGGAGAGAAGCCAAAGTTGGAGTTTGAGGAGGGAAATAAGAGTGGCAAACAAGACAAGTAGTCTCGAGATTGGGGTTTAATAGACAGAGTTGAGGAAGACATGGAGTGGGAGAGGTTAATTATAATCCTGGCAGTGATATTTGTGTTACTCGGCATCATGTTTCTGCACATGAACAAGACCTGTATGATTCTGTTTCTATAATCAGGCAGTAGCTGGACATGGCTGGAGAAGTAAGCTTTTCTATCGATGAATGCTATTGGCTGGTGATCTGTGGCTCTGAAGGCAACATGTGTGCAATCAATAGTGCTCTGCACAAGGGTGTGGTTTGTCATTGTTGCGATTCACCAAGATCTCTCCAGCTGACTCTAAAGGCAAAGAGGGAATTGGTGACCTGCCCAGAACAGCTGCGTACTATAGACTGTCTGACGCTGATGATATCCTTTCAGCAAGAAAGGAGACAGCCATTGGTTAAAAGGTTGAGTGTGTGGTGATTTTGAGAGCCACTGGCAAAGCCCAACACCCAGGTAGGTTAAACTGAAGATGCAATTATCCCATGTGCCCCTTTTATATAGTATTACTGAACTTGTGACCCACTAATGTTCAATTTTTACTTGCAGGTTTCAAGTTGGTGAGGTATCCAATCTTACAGCATTAAAACCACTTTGCAGTGCCAATGACAACACTTAGATACAACACTTAGATGTCAAGGTAATGCTGCCTGCTTGAGGTGAGCTATTAAAGAAATTCATTCTCTGGTCTGGGACTGCTCCAACTATTCAGAACCAGAATGGTAATGGGCAGCATATGGTTAAAGCCCAGTTCTATTGATATCTCAGCAGCTGATTCTTTTTCTTGTTGTGAACAGCAGAATATGATCATTGATTGCACTTGTGAAGTTCGTGTGAAAATTCCCTACAGCAATGACAATGGAGGAAAACACTTCTCAATACCAAGTACCATGTTTCCATCATTATCTTTCCTTGGAAGTCCTGGTTTATTGTACATTAATAGAATAGGCAAAGCTAGAAAAGCAGACTGTGACACCATTGCATTGGTGAAGATGCAGTGATTTCTGCATACCTATCTGGGTAGCCCATGTGACCTTGCCATTAGTTCATTTAAATTTTAGGCCTATGTCATTAGCAATGCTACAAAGCTATCTCCTCCCTTGCCTTGAAGCAAGCAGAATTGCAGAACTCTATTTTACCACTCCATTAGGGTGGAGAGTAAGGCCAATCTGGCTAAAGACTTAGGGTAGTCCAAGCTCCTCTCTAATCCTCCCCGATGACAAAATTGGTATTCAAATGGAAAATTGCTGTTTTAAGAGTTTGAGTAACTAGGAAAATTTCCGACAGGGTCCCACAATTCTGCCTTCAAAACTGACATCAGCAGCTGGAATAAATGTCTGCCACTCCTCAGTCAACTCCTGCTCCTCTCTTTCACCAATATCATCAGTGGTATTTTCTTATGAGCTAGAAGACGCGAAAGCCTAGTGAAGGTGGATTTTTCTTTAATTCCTTACTGTTCCCAGGAAGAAAGACTATCCCTGTGCAGCCCTTATTCCCCCCTCATCAGTTTAAAATTCTGGTTTATGAACATAGTATCAGAATGTTCTTTGTGTTTTTTATCTTTTATCTTTCATCAGAACAACACAATATTGTCATGATTCGATCCATTCTGTCTGCCAAAGAAAGATTTTTGACATTAACTAATGCACTTAAATCAGAGGCTCTTGAAATCGTGTGACACCAATTAACGTGAAACCAAACTAACATAAAAATTACTTCTATGACCTCTCTAAATCAAGGGATAGATTGATGTCCACTTTCTAATTCTTAAGTTGGAACACTGTGAAATATGAGATATGGTTTTAAACCTCAGTTTAAAGCTGTACTTTTATAGCCATTTAAATGCATTCTGTGCACGGCTTGTTCTGGGAATTTTCTTAAGGAGATTGTAGCCATAGATATTTTACCCAATTGTATGAACTACATGATAAAATCCTGACACAATTAATTGACATCTTTTTCAAGAAATATTGCTCAGAAAATTGCTTTTTCATTTTTCTCATAACTAATATTCTGTTAAAATTCATGGAAATTTCAATGGAATCAGCTGGGAGAAGGTGGGATGTGGGCTCTGGGCATGTGCATCTACCTGAAGGGGTTAGTGGGCAGTCTGAATCACTTTCAGGATTTTTGTTTTGTGGCTCCAGGATATCAACATGGTCTTGTGCATTGATGCAGTGGGAAATAAATAAATTTAATTTCGAGGGCAGATACTTTGAAGGCCAAAATGAAGGAGAATCCCGAGATTTGCTCAAGGGAGCAGTGGGGAAGGGTAGATTTGCAAGAAGAATTTTAAAAAAAAGAGGGGCTACACACATGAGCAGCAGGAAAGAAAAAACATTCTTGGGATCTGGAGTAAAGCCAGCATTTATTCCTATCTTTAGATCCCCTTGAGGAGGTGGTTCTCAGTATAAATCTTGAACTGCAGCAGTCCTGAGGCATGTGCATGTCCAAATTGTGATCTTATCAGGGAGAGGTAGGTGCCTGGAGAGGTGGGGAGGAAGACACATTTGATTAATTGGTGATTGCCACTGGGCTGAGATGAAATTTTAGGGATAGAACCAGAGAAGATGAGTAGAGCAAGAGAAGAAAGAGGGGAATATTAGGTAAGGGGAACAGTTTGCATGTTCAGGTGGAACAGGAGCAAATAAGTTTGCTTAGAATGTAGGACAGATAATGCAAGATGCAATCAAAAACAAGTGGCAACACAGAACCAGAGAATTGCTACAGTGTGGAAGCAGGCCATTTGGCCCATCGAGTCCACACCAACCCTCCAAACAGCATCCCATCCAGGCCCATGCCCTACCCTATCTCTGTATCCCTGTATTTCCCATGGCTAGTCCACCTTGCCTGCACATCCCTGGATACTCTGGGCAATTTAGCATGGCTAATCCACCTAACCTGCACATCTCGGACTGTGGGAGGAAACCAGAGCACCGAGAGGAAGCCCACAGGGAGAATGTGCAAACTCCACACAGACAGTCACCAAAAGACTGGAATTGAACCTATGTCTCTAACACTGTGACACAGCAGTGCCAATCAGAAATTAGAAATAGGTCAGGATAGAAATGTGATTGCAACAAGTTATATTTATATAGCACCTTTAACATAAAATGTCCCAAGGCACTTCATAGGGGGCATTGTAAAATGAAGTCTGACGCATGCAACATAAGGTGATATTGGGTCAGGTAAGAAAATGCTTGGTCAAAGAAATTAGTTTTTAACGTTTGTGAGAGACCACATTTTTTTGAAGAGACTATAAACTTAAATGGAAGTTGGACTGTTGTACAGCTGAAATACCAGGAGAGTTTTGAAACTTGGAAAAATCAAGGGCAGCATATTTTTGGCTGTGCCAGAAAATATTAGGTTTCAAAACAGTTGAGGGAGATAATTTGAAACTGGGTGATATCAAGAGTCTTTGAGTTTGGGAAATTCTGAATGACTGCTGCCCTCTGATTTGTTGAGCAACAGTTGTTATAAAACTTTAGGAGCAAGGGTAGAAGAAACATCAGAGTCTGTGATCTGAAAGCATCTATCATTCCCTCTTGTAAGGAAGAAGAAAAACCATGAAAGCTTAGAAGTAAGAATTCCAAAAAATAGGCCGAAGTCTGCCAGATGAACAATCAAAGTGAAGAATGACCATCACCTTATAGACAGCAGAATGTCATCAGTGCTAAAAGACAAGAAGAACAACATGAGACAATTTAATCCACTCTTGAAACCTGGAATTCAGAATTTTGTTTACTGTGTCTATAATTATTTTCACATTATCTGTGTTGAACCATCTGTCTTTTGGCTGTCTTAATTGTGAACATTTGAGTGTGTATTTGGGATTTTTGAGGTGGGTATAGTTTAAAATATATAACAGGAGAACAGAAATGCCTCATTTTCCCTGACTTTTTAAAGGCATGTTACAATAAATAATTATTTTCAGTAAATGAAAACTTGATGTGAATTGTTTTTGACCTGAATAGGAGTCAGTCAGTCAAATTGGTTGTCTTGGTAACCTCACTGGGATTTTATCGATTATACAGGTTTTGTGATAGCTTGTGGAACATGAGGCATGAATATCAGCGTGCTATTCCCAGTTCAGTTGTAACAAGTCTGTTTTAATGAAGTGCGATAGAAAGGCAGGTTTAAAATTGATGGCTTAGTAAATACAGATGCAGTTCAAATTATATTCCAGGAAATATTTCTATTTAACTTCGAAGAATGTATGACACTGAAGCCATTTCATCCAGATTGGGGGAATTTTAAGCCCTGTGTAGGGTCTAAAATACATGAATCATAAGCTGATTTGTATCCTGTCCCTTATATACCAGCTTCTGGTTTTATTAGAAGCGGATTGAGAAATGGCCAATTAACCTGCTTTCCAGATGCTCACCCTTCAATTAAATATCCTAATGAGGCTTCAAATTTAACCATGGTTTTATTTTTAACACCTGTGAGCCAGATTTCCCAGCACTCAGAAAACCTGGCAGTGAAAAGGTAGGACTCACCAGCCTAATGCCTTTCCACCATACTTGTGAGCTAGGAAGGTCAGGAATTCTTACTCCCTGCACCCCCTGTTCCCTTCTCCCACAATCCACCTAGCACCCTCACATCCTCACCCCATCCCTGCAACCACACTCTACCGATCTACTGCTCACTGCAAACCCTTTGCCACCATCTCGAAGATACTCCCTGCCCTGGATTTCCTTACCAACCCCCAACTTTAACCCATTATCACCTCAAAATGGAGTCAAAACTTAAATAAGAACTCAGATTAAGTTCAGCAGCACTTCCTATTGGTTGCTCTTAAATACTGAGGGCAATGTATCAACAGAGCTGATCATATAAAATTCACTGAGATTAATCAGGCTGAAGAAAACTGAGTTCTTCTTTCAATATTAATATGTTTCCCTTTTTATTAAGCAGTTTTTTTAACCCAATTTTTTTTTTGTTTACACCAAATACCTTGCTTATAAATGGCTGACACACCAAAACACTAAAATATGAGAACGTACACACTTACCTTTTGCTCTGTATTTGAAGTGGAGTGAAAAAATGGTTTGCATATATAATTGGAATTTTAATTTTGTTGAAAGCCCATTTATAGGGCTAATCTTAGGTTTTTACTGTCAAGTTGTTAAATATATTTATGTATGTATGGTTTTAAAATATTTTTGTATTCTTCCATTAGAGCAATGTTTTTGAAATGTAAATCTGCACATTCAAGGAAAGACAATCTTTTGTATCAGACTCAAAAACAAATATTACATGACTGTAGTTACTGACAAATGGTCTTCAGTGAGATATACTAATTGTGGAGTGATGATTTAAAATATTATGCACCATTGAAAGACATCAAAAAATTCTTGTCAAAATTTCTCTTTCTATTGTCAAATTTCAAACCTAGACCAGAAGAAGTGTCACTTCCACCACAATTACCATGAGAAAGCAATATCATGATCTAATTTACCATAATTAATGTTATCAATTTGAACATTTTCCAAGTACACATTGGCACAAGATATCCCACCCACATCATTGTGTTTCAGGTAATCATGGCTGTATTGTCCAACATTTTCCATTCAGTGATTTCACTTTGTTATTGTGCTCCTACATCAAAACAAAAATGATTTCTCTAGCAAGCAGTGCCCTATAAAACCCATAAAGTATTACAGCTTTATAGTTCATGCTTGAATGGTATCATGAGAAAAACAAAGGATTCTGTATAAAAACAGATTTTAGGAAATTAATCCAAAACAATTACTGATCATGAATGAGTGGAAATATAGTCCTAATTTATTATTAGTACTAGATAAATGAAGAATAGCATTAGGCACCATACTTGAGCAAATAAGCATGTCATGCTTCAATCAAAATGAATCCAGCTTGAAAGCTAATTTTACCAGGATGACTACATTTGCTCACTGAAATCAGTATCAGGAAAATGCCTCAAACAGTTCCGTTTTACACTTCCTTCCCAGTGCAAGGGATGAGTTGCTGAGTATAACCACAGAAGAAAATAGCTTGAAATCATGTTTGAGGTTTTCATGTAGTAAAACATGGTTACTTCCTGAAAAAATATTGTTGTAACTAGGAAAAAAATGGCAGTAAAGTTGTATGAGACAGCTTCCTTTCATATTGTAGCTTGAAGGATTTCTTAATTCATTATGCAATCAACTTTTTTTAAAAAATGAATGAATATGGTATTTTGGCAAAGTATTTATCATAATCCTATAATTTCATTTTTGCACTCTCTGGCAGAGAAATTGAAGCAAATTCTGTTTTTTTTTGGATCAAAAGTCAGTGTTAGGGGTCGAACTTTGTCTCACATCAGTGATGTCCAATATCATCAGAAAATGTGCAAACTGACAATCTGGAAACTGGTGACTTCCAGACGTCCAAATTGTCTAAAATAAGTATTAGATGCATAAGCAAGACTTGATCAAACTATGCTTTCTTATAAGATTTCTGTAAGTTGAACAAAGAGGAAATATAGAACTCTTTGAAGGTAATGGTCAGAGAACAAGATTCATGCAGATGAAGAGCTAGCCACCTAGCCAATAGTAGAGTGACAAAAATGTCTGGAGCCACAATACTGTAAGGTCAAAACAGTTATGAAAATGAATGAATATGGCTGTACAGATAGTTGAAATGAAAACTAGGATTTAAATTTAATCCATTAAGTACTGGGAGGCATTTTAGACCTGTAATATGGAAATGATTGGCCAGTAGACAATGTGGATGTCAAGCAAGGAGGAATGAGAGAAGTTGTTTCTGTCAGTGACAGAAATATAGTTGATAGTTTGAGTGCCAAAAGAGCTGAAATAGGGACAAAGATAGGATATGCTTCAGAGTGGAAATAATTAGTTTTGGTGATATATAGATGCAGTGTTGGAAGTTCAGAACTGGATGGAAGAAAACTAGCATCATATGATCTAATTCAGCTTGAGTGGTTAGGGAGTGCTCAAGGCAGTAGCTAGAGTTTGTAGCAGGATTGAAAAACAGTTCTTTCAAACCTGCGAGGAATGTGCATTTGGAAAAAATTTTAACTCAATGATAATTTAATGTCAGATAAGCAGATAGTATGAAGTTTATATGTTGACACAAATTGGAAAGGTAGAACCAGACGTCAGCAACATGCAAACAGGTGACAGAATGCAGTCAATGAAGAGAGGGAGAAGGTGAGATGTTTTGAAAATTTTCAGAACAACGATGAGATGAGCTGGCTGTTTTGGACGATTGGAATTGACACACAGATATATCCATAGGAAAGACTCTTGTCTACTGTAACAAATGCTGGAAAACATTTCTAATACAATGAAAACATTAACAGCATCAAGCTTTCAATTGGAGGGAAGCTGAGTTCCTTCAATTAATGTAGATTCCATTCACATAGTCATCAGAACTTTCCAGATCAACCCATGATAGAGTTCTGCATCTGCGAATGCTGAAGGAACGTCCTAATAGATAGAAGCATTTCAACATACTGCTTCTTTAATACCATTCAAAAAATGTGTGCTGTGCAGAATTATACACAATGAAAAGGTGCATGAGCATCATAAGCTCTTTTCGGAGCAGATGTTGCTGATTTAGGTTCATGCCATGATTGGCAGACATCAGTAAGGGGTTGGTTAGCTCAGATAGCTGGTTAGGTGGTTTTGCAATGCAGAATGATGGCAACAGTGCAGATTCAATTCCTGCACTAGCTAAGGTCACCGAGAAGGTCCTGTTTTCTCAACCTCACCACCACTCCCCCGCAATCCGAGGCATGATGACCCTCATGTTAAACCAACCACCAGTCACGTCTCCCCAGTGAGAAAGCAGTCCTCTGGGCATATGTTGATTTGACAGGTAGAAATCACAAGAAGCACTTGCAAAACTAAGGAAATATCACCTTTTTCATCTTGAAACAACAATTTCTGCAATTGCTACAGCCAGGTACAACAAGCCAAGGTGACTGCATTACTTCAGTTACATGCAGCATCAACCCGCCCTTTTATTGGTAGGTTAGGTTCTGTCCCAACAGTGGCACTTTCCTTTGACATACATCCTGTAGCAGAACGTCCAAACCTTTAGCATAGAAACAATACATATGTCCAAAAGTTCACTGTGAACAAGTAAGTCAACTCTTCTCTAGTCAATAACTTATCTTTCAATCACAAATTACAGTCCTTTAAAAGAAAATTGCAAGGTAGAATTTCCAAGTTCTCATACATGAGTGGGTACTTCTGATCTTCCAATGTATTAAAATACCTGGGACTTAGAGAATGGGATTTTCAGGTGGCTGCTCATTGTTTGTAAGATGTTGGGACATTAGGGAGGATTTCTGTATTCATTATATCTCCACTGTTTTGTCTATGGTTTTCATCAAAATGTACAACCAGCATTCCAAACTCCAACGGAGACAGAAACCAAGAATTCACAGAACACAAAAGTGCTTGCAGATCACCTCCCAATATCCCCTGAACTACACTCTGACAAATAGATGTAATTCTATACTACGATGGTTAGTTATACTTAACCTCTTTTCTTAGCTGCTATGGTTTGAATTGAGATGCTTAGCTAACCATGCCAATCTCCATTTATTGCTTTGCAGCAAACTTCTACAGATTCTCCCCTAAAACCTATCAATTTAGATTTGCATTGTGGATTTTAAAACAGCATTTTGAGGTAAATGCTGGAATCAAGGTCAGAATTACTGTTTCTTCCCATAAATTAATTGTTTTACCTGATTTGATCATTATGGATTGAAACATCAAATACTTTTGTGCTTCAGGAAATCAATTTCAACAACTGCAGCATTTCAGATACCCGTGCTTTTAATTATCTTCAAGTTAAATCCACTCTGTGACCCTCCTGGGAATGACCTAATGACTCCTGCTCTTCGTAAGCTTTCTCACTTTCTTCA